ATGGGGTGGCGGCCGTGCGCGCCGCCTCCCTCAGAAGCCACCTGCACCCCTCAGCGACGGCGTTTCTCACCGCGCCTCTGGAAGCAGACGAAGTCTGTTAGAGTTCGGGAGCGCGGAGGTCCGGCTGCTTCCCAAGCACGAGGTCTGCCACCGAATCCTGGTCCCGGTGGGGACGAAGGGCGCTCGCCCACGGCTGCGCGTCAGCCCCGGAGCCCACACAGGCGGCACCCCGATTCCCAAGGCACCTCCCAGAGACAAGATGCAAAGAGGGGCCAAAGCTGTGGCAACGGTCTGATTGTTGTCAGCTGAAGTTAGGGTTACATCTGTAGGTTTTAATGGGGATAATTTGCATGGGTTTAGTCAAGATGTGTTTTCTAGCTGTTGCGTTCAGCCATTCCCTTGGGCCTTGTATTTGTATCACACTGCAGTTAGCCCAACCGCGTGGACAGGATCCCTGTCTTCATCATTTCGGACTGACTCCCTCCAGAATTCCTGTAAATCATGGCATTTTCCTGTCAGCTCTGAGCTGTAACTGCAAGCCTCACACCACCCCAAGAAGCATGCAAGAATTGATGTCCACGCCGCTGGGGGAAACACACTCTGAGACGTTCTCCTATTTGCAGACAGAAAAGGAAGAAAAAAGGCCCAAACCTGGGGACCGCACGAGTACCAGTGGTTAATGACAAGCCTGGAGACTTGTTCCGCTCTGCAGGAGGAGCTGGGGGCTGCCAGGCCATGGCCAGGGGGAAGAGTACATACAATCATCTCTTTCTGCATCTGCATGATTTACAGCAAAAAACCCCTGTGCAGTATATTAACAGTAGGTTGCATTTGCTATACAGCTATATTTGCTCCCTATGCAGAACAAACCCCCTCTGGTTTGAGAAAAGGATACAGAACAGCCATGTCCTTTGTCTGCATTCACGTATATCCTCAGAAAAACATGATCTGGCATACAAAGACAGTAACCAACTTGTTCTAGCAGCTTCAGAGCTGGGATGAAAACTCAGAATGGGTTTGCTCCCTCCAGGTCTGAGGGCTGCTCCATCTGGCAGGCAGTGCAGTGCTGCACAAATATCACAGAAGTGCACAGATACAGGCATAGTGCATGCATAACATGCCATCAGAGTTCAATAAAATAAATTGGAAGGAGCCAAAGTAATTTTCAAAGCACAATTCATGGGAAGCACAGGATGATTTACAGAAGCTAGAGGCAGAAAGCTGACAGGAAAATAGCTCCTCACAAATTACTTATCTTTCAGGTCAGTCACTTGAAAGAAATATAGGGTGGTCATGAATTACTACCAAGGTGTGATTTGTATGCAGAAGGCCTACTGCTCATTGCAACGTCTCTCTTGTAAAATATGGACTATGAATATGTATGTTCCCTAGAACAAGAGAGTTGCTTGTTTCCCTGCTTTGTATACATTTGCAGTTCTTCAAAGATAAACCAACATTTTGCCACTGAAAAGACTGAAAACACTGAAGAATGAGTATTTCCTTTCTATCTGATTAACAAATCAATTATAAAACCAGTGTATTTGCCCCTGTTCCACACAAATTACAAAAAATGGCATAGGGTATAGCTTTTTCTTGATCCTTCTTTCTAAGGGATTCTCAAACCATTCCTGGAAGTCACCACAAACAAAAGTTTCCATACCTGGAATAAAGCAGCAACAGAAACTACCAACAAAAAAAAGCTAGTCTGACAGCCAGCAGGTGCAAATGCAAAACCTTTGTCACAGAAAACTGTGCGTGAAGAATGAAAAGCAGGCTTGAATCTCATTTCTTTAGGTCTTGTACTAGTAATTATTGTCTTGGGCCAACATCATTGAAAGCCCATGGCAGCAGATACAGGATGTCAGGAACGGTATTCTGGATTTCGGAGATGCATTTGGCATTTCCATAATTCAAACACAGCATGGTGTTACTAACCTGCATATTCACCATCCAGCCATTCCAAACAGTAAGACACTCCTTTGAGCAGTGCTTCCCTTTAACAGGCAACAGTTTTACTAAAATACGTTTTCATTTGCTTTTCTTTACAACACTTCAAATTTGTCCCATATCTGCTACATTTACTCTCTTCTCTTCTTTTTCTTTTTAGATGATGAACTAGAACGTAACCTTACAACAAAAATTACATTTTAGCAACTATAACAGCTTGATTTGCAATAATTTGTCTACCTCTTGTTGGCACTAGTTGTGCAAAATGTGGAAAATAATTCAATTGCTATGACTGTAACCAGAAGCCATAATAATAAAGAAACTCAAAATCAAAAGTAACATACCAGATGCACTCTGCCTGCCTAAACAAGACAGTAAAACCAGTGGCAGCTTTTTTATCTTTACAATTCTTAATCACGTTTGTCTTTAGTGGCAGAACTGAGGTCTGGAGATGTCAGCTAGTCACATGGAAAGGGAAGGACTGCCTGAGACAACTGCTGTCCTCACGTAGATGATCAAAGTCCCCGGTGACATCTTTTTTTTCTGTCTGGAAAAGTTACTTATGAGAAAAACAAACATTTTGGATGCATGCCAAGATTTCCCAACATTAAGAAGTCAACAGGAGCTTAGCCCTTCAGTGCTTACGAGCCTGTAATGTAACAGTACAGAGTGAACCTAGCACAGCACCGTGCAGCAGGATCTGTAGGTAGCTGCAGCAATTTGCCTCTACGCCATGCAGTCTTGGCTTCCCCAACGGCAGGCCTCTTTGAAACACAAAGTCACATCAAGGCTGCTCGCATAAATAGGTTGTTCTGTGACAAAACCTTACTCCTGCTGTAACTCAGAGCCCACATTTACAGCCAGATCCACTCAAGAACAGGTTGTGGTGCATATGGCCTGGACTGCAGGACTGCATCTTTACTCTGGTACTGTATTTGTCTCACTTCTGAGAGATTACCTTGATAATAGAGCCCATATTTTCCTTTTTAGATTAACACCTGGAATATCTTCTTTTGGCATTATTTATAGCACATAATATGCTCATGTCCTTTCAGATTTATAGACAAAGATGCACTTTCAAATGAAGAAAAACAAAGAAACAGCTGCAATCCTCACTTGATAACATTTATTCAATACTTTCTGAAATAAGCAAGAATTTTAGACGCCCATAAGCAATCCAATACAGCCACAAAAACCCCATACTGATCCTAAATAAGAAGCACTATGAGAAATACACAATATTTCATGAAACAATACTGTACATCAACAACCTTTAGGAAACAAACAACTCAAACCATATGCTTAGTTTACTCACAATATAAAAAACTTTAACCTTTAAAGAAAAATATAGATTCAGTCCAATTGTAGGATCCAATCCCATGCCCACTGAATTCAATGGAAGCTCTCTCATTGATTTCAATGTTTAAAGGATCATGCCCTTACTTTGCCTCAAGAGGCACTTTATTATACAAGGCCTAGCCTGAATACTATTACAAAAATGTCAAACATCAACTCAAGAGTATGTTTCAGCAACTTTCAGGAAATAATGGAGAAATTGGTTATCTACCCATGCATGGAATAAGGCAAAAGCTAATTCATTCAGATTAGGAATAATAATTTTTACTAGTTTCTTCTTCACAACACAAACATTTTAGACTTTTTTAATTAATGGATATATTATATATCATATTATGCTTCACATTTTTCCTACCTCTACTGAGAAAGCTGGCACTGACATGTCATAAAGAACTCCTCATTAATTATTGTTTTCTGTTCTGTAACAACCACAAGAAACTCATCTGGGTTTAGTAATAGTGTCTACCAAGAAAAAAGCACACACTATCATAAGCTTATAGTTTATAGAGCTCAAGGTACATTAAAATGTAATTCATGAAGTTCACAAATTCTGTTTTAAAATATTTTTCCAAACTAAAAGCTGCAGAAAATTGGTTCTTAAATATTCTACAGAAAATTCTGAAGCATCTAATGGTTTAAATTACTTATGCTTTCTTCTTAAAAATATTTAAATTAGGTTAGTAGCCCATCCTTTTGAAAAATAATCCAAAAAAGATACACTAGATTACAAATCTTTTGTCTTAATCAGTGTAACCAAAGGTTTGTCATCTGGGCTGTAATCTTCGTAAGCAATGGGGGTTGCGTCATACATTGCAGGTCGGGATTTCTTGCCAAACCTGGAAACAAAAGAAAGCATCAAATTTAAAAAAAAAAAATCTTCTTGCAAACAAGAAATAGGTTCCATGTCAAAGGCTACAGGAATTCTGCTGTGGCATTCAGCAGTATCAGAATATGGAAAGACTAAGAAAGGCGAGAGCGAAACTGATACAGTTTCAGCAAGGCCAGAATTTTATTGTAGAGCCTGCTCTAACAACCAATATTAAGGTCAAGTCATGTATATTTACAAAAAGCAAGTAACAGACAACTATGTGACACTGGCATTTGGAAATGCAACAGTTGTGCACTGAGTTGAGTTATAAGCTGTAGACAAAGTGTTTAAAAATGAACTCAAAGTCTTTGCTCACCTGAGATCCACTTGAGAAGCGTGTTTAAATTATCAACATGCTGCACGCTACTTGCAAGGCTGAAAAAAATTAATTGCAGTTGCAATGCCACATAAACACACTACTCTAGCAAAGGTTCACAAGCAACAGAATCCCATCACGAGCGTGCTCCTCCTGGGCAGCCATCACTGCCCAGAGCTAGGCTGCACCTGCCCACGCAGAGAATCGCTGGGGCTGCATCCTTGTGGCCCCAGTGCTGGCACATCCAGAACTCCTTTAGGTGCCTTTGCACTACAGAGACAATCGATCAGCCTTCTGATCATTTATTAAGACACAAAAATAGTGCTAGAAATGCAACTTGAAAGTGGAAAAATTACTAAAGTGGTCTGACAACAATTACAGGAGCTTTACATAACAAAAAGATTCATGGGAAAATGAGGCAAAAAAAGGGCCAAGTCTGCTTTCCATATGGACCTGATGCAGAGAAAATATTAACACAGAAACAGAAAGATTTATTTATTTAGTGATCTACACAAAGGATGTTTTAAATCTCCTTCTTATATACCAATTAAGTCTATATTAATATAAGCTGTGCACACTGGAAGGTGAGATTCAGAGAATTCGGATTTTGAGGATAATATTTGGACCAAAATGAAATTGATTTTCTTCCAAGATTTCTATGCAGCTTCCTGACTGTTCCAATTTAATTCTAGATGGTTTTCAGTGTTCTAGAATTGTTGACAAAACTAAAATGACTGCAAGCATTATGATCTATATGGTGGAAATTTCATTTTTCAAAGTACTTCAGCTGTTAACAAGGCCACATGATACATTTCCATGCATGAATGTCTGCCTTCTCCTATAGTTTACTTTAATAAATACAGACAGGCCACATTCACTCATCAGCTTCATGATAGATAAACCTGATTTTCTGTAAGTGAGATAAAATTCCAAGAACCGAATGAAGGAACCAAGTTATGGCATCTTACTAAATTAGAGGCAGCAGTGAATTCTGAATCATCTTTTTTGTCCATCGCTCTCAAGGGTTTAAAGGAAATAGAGCGTCTTTACAGATACAAATGATGATGAACATTCTCCAGTGATTTAAGTCAAATTTTGCCCTTTCTGACAGGCAGAGAATATATGGCCTGTTGCACATGGCGAAACCGTGCAAAATCTGTTCTCCTGTGTAGGTCAGGGTTGACATGTGCCCCTAATTAGAAAACGCTGAGAAAAGACCACAGAACATGTGCTAGTTGTTTGTGGCTTGGCTGAGCCATCTAGCTGGTAGACCACACTGCTTTGATCCGGCGGTTCAGAAGCCAGGCCCTACTCCTAACACTAAACAGAGTTAACACAAGCCTCGGAGGTCTCAAAACAGAATTGTTAAATGCACAGTCTTAGTTTGATGGGCGTGTATTTAGTAGGATTGCACAAAAATGCTATTTTATCCTTTAATTGGTGACATAAAAGAAAACATAAAACAATTACCAATACAAGCTGGAAAAGAAAACGATTCAAGGGGTAATAAATAGTGAAAAGATGCAGATCCCTGCTACAGAATGTACTGGACCAATTAATAGGTTGCTTACAACAAAAGCACGGGGCAATCTCAACCTTGGGAAGTGCTGAGTCTGGGAAAAAAACCTAGAGGAACATGATGGATAATCAGTTTAACATTAGCTTTCATGCCATACTGTGTCCGAGGAACAATTATGCACGTAGATCAGTAAACAGAGTGTATCAGTAGGACTAGGGAAGTTCTGTGGCCTCTACAATTTAGCATCGATGTGTCCATTCATGAGTGATGACAGTGTTCCAATGTGCATATCGGAGATGCTTACCAGTGGCATAGGGATCATCACAAAGTCAGGTAAATGACACAAGAATTAGAAAATACATTTTGTAATGAAACATTGAATAAGAGCAACCTGTGTAACTTGGCAAAGAAAGACCAAAGTCTCCATAGCAATTTTGGGGACAATATATATTCAATGTAGGAATTCTTGGCACAGGCAGCTCCATGCATGCGTGTGTGTGTATATGTGTATGTTTGTGTGTGTGAGAGAGAGAAAGAGACTGCAAATTCTACTTCACACATGGAATGGGGTTGCCCCTCTGCTTCCTTAGAAGGACATTTCAAAGATGGCTAACAATAGAGAGTCCTAAACCTCAACAATGCATTTGAGTAGAAGACTTTTGAGAACACTGAATGGCTGAACCCTGAGGAAATGATATCCTCCAACTTCTGTGGGATAGGCTGAAGTTTGGGGCTTCCCCAGAAGCTGAAGAAACCAACCATGTGTTGCCGCTCTGTTCGAAGACAGCAACTGGTGTAAGGAGTCCACAAAGAAAGTTTAAACCAGAGAAGGAAAAGTGGAGACCAGAATTAAAATAAACAAAAAAGCATACGCACAGGAGGAAGAGATTATTTTGCCCCCACAGGAGGAGAATAATGAGAAGAATAATTTCCTCTCCATTATTCAGAGAAAAGGCGACGTGTGCAAGTGGTATTTTGCATTCCTTAGTATAATCCTAGAGTTCCCACAAAGCTGAGACTCTGGCAGAGGACCAACCAATAGGCACGTGCTGTGGAGACCAGGCTACTTGTGCATGTGATCATACTTTCACAAAGAGACAGCTGGCTGAAACTCACTTCTGAAGCCTATGTCAGGAACTGGTAAGAAACGAGCATGTGCTGAAGCTCGGCAGACGCGGGAAGCTTAGGATGCTGGAGTCCAACACAGCCGCCTCAAACAGGAGTGTGGTGAATATGCCAGGCAGAGAAGCTTACTCCGCTGTCAGAAGATGACTTAGAGTCTGATGAACCAGACTCTTCAACGCACACGCAGACAGAACAAGAGTCAGCACGCACCACTTAAAATTTAAGAAACTACACTGTAAGTAGTGCATGAAGTCCGATGCTAATGATATCTAGACAAACAAAATTTTACAGTAGTACAGTCTCTGTAACCAGATATTTTGTGAATTCAGTGCGGATGCTTTTTTAAAGTGAACAATCCAGTTTCAACAACAGATCCTGGTTCCAATTCAATGAAGTCTTATGGCTGCTTTAGCCACTGGTCCACTATTTCATCGCAGTGTTCTCTTCTGACTATAAAATGTACAAACTTTGACATAAAAGGAGTATTTATTTACTGTGCATAATGAATACTAGAAAGCTGTGCTTCACCTTGTGAGAAAATTACCTGGTTCTGATTTGCTAATCCTAAGAACATTCACTAGAAGTAGACATTTATGAGTAATGATCCTTAAGCATGTTTGTTTTCTTTTGCAGCAAGTACCTTGATTAATAAAGATCAAATTATAGAAAATGATCAAGAAAAAGACCTGCTGAGAAACATGAACAAGTAATTTTAAAATAATTTACTGAACATGCAACAGGCATCCACACTCCCTGGACACATACTGACTTTAACAGAAACCTTAAATTTAAAGAAAATAATCTACTCACTTTTCCTTAGGCCTCCATTTTCCAAAACTACTAATGAGTTTGGGTATCTAACTGGGAAAGGGAATGATTTTCAGAAGATGTCGAGAATCTGTTACTGGAAAGTAGGTCTTTTAAATACAACCACCCTGCAAATTCAGACCTTGGTGTTTTTAATATGCAGATTTAAGAGTTTATGCAAAAATAACTATAAAAGTTGTGCTCCTTTTCCTGGATTGAAATGACCAAAATGGTGTTTTATATCTTTGCGAAACCAAAATAAACACAATAATCTTCACACTGAACTGCTGTGAATTGCCTGACTTGGCAGCTCTATCTTGGATTTTTATAAGGCATCCATTCTCTGAGAGGCACAGAGAATTACTTGGAATGAAAACATTTCATTTGCATTAAGTAGAAATACTTTTCCCAAGACAGGGAAACCCTTTATTGACAGCTTCCAATAATGTAATTTTTAACTGCATAATACGAATCTGAAAAATCATCATGAATATATCTGTCTAAGAATTTCTTCGGAGGTTATTTAACCCTAATGAAAACTTTAAACTTCTGCCTTCACTAATAAATGGAGATTCATTCGGAGTAATCCAGACAGTAGCAATAGAGACCTGAACTAGCCCAGCTTCCAAGCTTTGGAAGGTTTCGTACAGGAAATCTTTTTACCATTTCCATTACCTGCCAGTGAAATTGTAAAAGGCAGGGAAAATTCAGATTAAAAAGATCCTGCTTTGCAAGTAGAATTTTCCCTGGTACCCTTAGATAGAAAGCTGCCAAATTTGCTTTAGGAAACAAGTAAGAAAACCCAAGTGTTGCACACTGTTCCTCAGAAGACCAATTCCAGTCCTTGGGGAAGTGCAAAGTACCACCTCAGTGATTAGTAACGGAGCAGGACTGACACATTCATCACCGTTCCAGTAGTAGGAGGGAGGTGTTTAATTTGAAAGATTACCAGTATAATTTTGCACCATGCTCTCCACCCTTGGAGATGTGTAGTACATAAAAGTAGACATTCACAAGGCCAAATAATAAAAAACTATAAAGCTTTTTATGGGCTGTAAAGCAACTCCCTCCTCTACCAATACACTACTAAAGAAAAAAGGAGTTCTCAGAGTGAGTATGGTGTGGAGATGCTGAGCTCCTACTGGAGGAGATGTAAGGCTAAGTGGCAAAGTAGACTTCAAGGGAAGACTTAAAAGACTACTGATTTTATTGCATGTTAAATCAACTATACACAACTTTCTTTTTAAAATATTTACTGACTAATATATTTTGACAATGAACAAATGTTTTATTGTAAATCTAGTTGGAACAGTTTAAAGAGCTACTGCCCAAAGCTGCGATGTGATTAACTGAGCCTGTGGGAACTCCTCATCCATTTCAGATCACTTAGATGACTTCAGCAGTGGTACAAATTAACCTATTTAATTTGCACTGAAACAGAACTGGAGTATTTGGAAAATGAATTACCAGCAATCACAACCAATATGCACGCATTTCTCCATGTCAATGCACAGGAACCTGTCTCCCTCCATTCTTTTAAAAGCATTTTAATGGTAACACACATGAACACTCTTGTTAGAATCTGAAGTGATCTTTGCAAATCGAAGAAATTGGAAAAAAGAAACAACAAAAAGGAAATTCTACCCTATTACAAGAGATGTCAAATACAGAGGAAACAATACTGGCTAGGAAGCAAAATGGCACAAAGGATCTTGGGGTGAGGAAAAGCTCTAACAGGTCACAAAATTAAATCATCAGTTGCTAGTGTAATGCAAATTTTTTTTTTAAAAAAAGCATTTTTCATTTTCACATGTATGAACAGGAAGGCCATAAATAAGACACAGGAGGTGATTACACAGTTCATTTGGTACAGGTAAAGCTACAGCTGGAGAACTATTTCCAGGTTTGGGCACTAGCCTTTAAAAAAGACATTCTTGAGTGTGTCCTAGAGAGACAGTAAAGAAGCTGACATGATCCACGAGGAGATACTGAAAGAATGGGTTAGTTTAGTCTAGGGAAGGAAAAGGTTGGTTTGCTTTGCTTGTTTTTACTATTTAAAAAAAAAAAAAGAGAGAGAGAGAGAATGGGGGGACACCTGACGTACATGATTACTGTAAAGGGAATCACAGTAAATTATTCTTCATGACAACCTGAAGAGCAGTAAGAAAGAAATGGTTTCATTCATATCAAAGAATATCTAGGGTTGGATTTTAGGATAGCCCTTTCTAACTCCGTTCAACTCCTTTGGAGGTTTTAGAAGACAGTTGGAGCTAAGTATAATGCTACATCAGTGCAATGGCTGCATTTGAGCTCTTGAATCCCTTCCAGTCCTACTTTTGTATTATTCTGACACCCACTGCCCTGGCTTGCAAGTGCTCCATTAAAATGAAAATATTACTGTCTCTAGGAAAGGAAGTAAGAATAATTTTCATTTTGAGGCAAACAGGAGCGCAAAAATGAGTGATTTGAAGAGAGTCTCACTAAATAATTTGTCACTAAATTATTAGTCACCAAAATCAACGTGTCTTTGCTATCTAATCAATTATTTGTGTGTATCAGTTAAAGAGTATTCACATCCCAAACAGAAGATCTTACAGGCTAAGAACTCTGTGCCTGTCCCTCTTCACCAGTTACACCAAGTAAATTCAGAATAACTCGCTCTGTTTTCAGGGAGTTGTGCTGGATTATCACACTTCAGAAGAGAACAGAATAGGGATGAAAAAGAACAACAAGCAATGCTGGTGAGCCTGTCTTTTCACAGCGAAGCAGCCCATTTTCTGCCAACAGCAGTTAGAAGCACTACACATGGACTGAATTTATGTATCGTAACAGATTTCTTTTAAATTACCATCCCCAGAACAAACCTGGCATGTCGGATAGAAGCAATCGCACTACTGAATTCGCTGTCAATGCTTCTACAGTTGTAAAATTCTTCATAGGCTGGCCTGGAAGAGCCTTGATATTCAATGCGGCTGATGCGACATATCCCCACAATCAGAATGATCAGCATGAGGACAAACGCTACGCAGAGAGCCCCAATTATGATGTAGAGGGAGTGACGAGGCATGTTTGTTAGACTCTCTGCCATATGCCCGGACTTCCACTGCAGATCTGCCAATAAGAAATTAAAAGTTATTATTAGTTAGTATTTTATATCTTCCT